GTGAATGCGTCCTTCGTGTGCCGTAAATGTTGTGACTTTCCTGGCCGAAGGCCCTAAAATGCTTGGACCCTCATTGGTGCACAGCGTCTCAACAACAGAAGTGGGGCTTGCTTCAACCAATAGATACGAACATCCAGACGCGAATCAGCAAGGTGCATTTCTAGTCCCAGTTAGACAAAATCTACGTCAACACGTAACACAAAACTATAATTCGTGTTGTAGAGAATGTACCTCCTCCTATACGTGTAACTTTTAAGTGGTATGCCTTGTAACTGATGAATGATCCGAGGGTGCTCCCTATTTCAAAGACGATGAGTTGCTCCAGACGCTTCGTGAAACACAAAAGTACCCTTTGACCTGTATCACATGGAACGTGTCTCACCCGAGATATCTATACAGGTTACTTCCAAACACACACACACACACTTTGTCCTAACATCACTTAATCAATCTCGATTTGAACACTTAATCAATGTTTGACCCTCATAGACAAAATGTTACATGTACACGCACAATCAGACAAGTATTCATTCTTAATTATTGACAGGCATATTAACAAAATTGATTTACTGCAGTGAAATATCCTGCATCAGGTTACATCGTATTAACAAGAAGCTATTTTAAAAATACGCATGGTCTGCTTAAAAGTGGATGTAAAAAATACTATTGTGTCATTCAAAACTTGTAGGCCATTGCATGCTGGCGAATTCTAAACATTAGCGACAAATTACAAAACTGAGATGAAACATCAATCATCGCCCCCTACTGACAGCCTCTTGTTCACATACTCTTTGGTTCTTTTAGTAAAGTCACGTAGGTAGACAAAATAATAATAGATCACGACGTTTCGATCGTAACACAAGCGGTCGTCGTCAGGCGGAAAAAATAATAAATGCAGGCCGGTGCAGGGCCACCACCCTGTGCCACACAGGGGCCGCTGCTACTTGGGGATGCTCTTCGAGTGTTTCAGACGAGATACGAAACTCCGAGTTGCTGAGGCGATTAAGTGAGCACCGTGTAAAAGCAATTATTGTAACATAGTGAATGCTTGGGGGTTTCTTGGCTCTCGCTCCTGGTCAGAGATCTCCCCAATCCACAGGTCCACAAAGACTGGCCGCTCGCTCTTACTCTGCAGGTTGAACCTAGGAGCTGAGTGTTCAACTTCACATTCTTGTCATTAAAGGCCTGTGACAAAGGTGCATCTATTGTAGCGACATCGTCTCTGGCTTACACATCTACCGGGTCTCCACTTGACTTTGTATTGTCTAGGAGCACGTCCACCCACACCTCCACTTCCACAAACTGCTGGGAGTTGCCTCACTCTGATTCACAGTCAGAATTCTCCTCCTGCTTTACGATGTGAAGGTCCCATTTTGGAGTTGAATCGTCATCTTCACATTTTACCTTCACTTCTTCGCTCATCACTTCTTCATATTTCACCTTCACCTCTTCATATTTCACCTTTATACCTTTAAAAGTGTCCAAGCTGGGATTTTCGTCCGGTTCTTGTTTCATGATGGGCTCATTGCGGGACTTTGACTTTCACAAGCTGATTTCAGACGCCGACTCCGCTCCTTGTGATGCTTTTGTGTTCTCTGGTGTCTTCGAAGATTTGATGAATCTGCAAACGGCTTCCTGCACAGAGCACACTTGAAGGGTTTCTCTCCTGTGTGTGTTCTCTGGTGTTTTACAAGATCAGATGACTGTGCAAATGCCTTCACGCACACACTGCACTTGAAAGGTTTCTCTCCCGTGTGTGTTCTGTTGTATACGGCCCTTTTTCCACAATTAATATCCATAAGAATATTTACGGATGCATACACCTAGATTTCTTTTTCCTTTCTTTCGTGACAAACAATATATATTTTTTTAATGAATCAAACCAGTAAGCCAGAAACACGAAAAACCAGATGTCGGTCATAAACAGACCATTAAAGAATAAAGGAATAATAAAACTCTCAAGGCGAGGATGTAACAGCTATCGGCGAAAATCTCCAGATGAACAAGAGTTTGATGGGCCCCTTAGGAAAGGTCCCTCCGAGGTCAGAACACCAAGAGAGCAGACACCAGACGCCAACAGGGTAAATCGTATACATATTCTTTTCCTTATTTTCCAGTAAAGCAACAAAAAAATTAAAAGGCAACAACAAGAATAAGATAAAAGTAGCGAGCCTAACGCTCACTCCAATTAAGAACAGGCCACCAGACACATCAGTGAATTATTATCCAATGATTAATTCGCTATCAAATGATTTTCACCTTTAATACTTTTACTGTTAAAACAAAGCTTGGAGCAAGAATACCGAGTCACATCAAAGGTTATCGAGAAGGAATGAGACAACGAGCAAACTTGCGAAAGAGTTTAAACAATATTCCAAGCAACCCCGACCACCTTTGTCTCTCTCACAGCGCGGAGAAGCAGGAATTACACCTTATCACAAGGGGCCATCTGGAAAAGCCAGCCGGGTTTGATGAGGAGACACACCCACCCCACACACGGCAACCAGGCAAAGAAAGTTTTAAAGAAAATTGCAAAATAATATTAATAATAACAACGTGTTAACCTTACACGACATTCCATTATAGAACCTTACAGAACCAAGGGATATGGATTCCAACAATCAAGAAATGGACCTCTTAAACTCAGGATGATAATTATTTTTCTTTTTAATAATTCCATCATAACAATTCGAACCTCGGTAAAACCGAGAGGTGTCGGGAAGACGTAGTTACAAACACGAGTCTTGGCGAACATGGGACCAAATGGTATTTGAGAAAAATAAGTCGAAAGTATAAAGAGGTGCTCCCGACCACCTTTGTCTCTCCCGACCACCTTTGTCTTTCCCTGCAGCACGTGATAAAATGCATACGCTCGGAAGAGCATCTTCACTTGGAAATAAATCAAATACTATGAATCACAAGCAGGATCATAACTGTGTATGATAAGATACCAACTGTGATGTGAAATGTTAAACTTAAAAAAAATCTTAACCATTTCTTTGTGCGTCGGAACGCGTACGGAAAAGGGGGGGGGGAACCCGCCCCTCTCTCTGGGTGGAGGGATTAGACAACCAGACGCCACCAAGATGAATCGAGGTGTCTGTTGTCTTGATGTTTATGGCTTGAGGAAAGACCCCAACAGGGCCATGTCATAAATGACACACACACAAACATACACACTGACACACGAACCCCCCCCCCCACCACCGACACACGAACCCCCCCACCGACATACGATCAGATCAAAGATAGCTCCACCTCGTGAGGGGGAGCCGAGAAGGGGAGAGATTTTTGGCATAAAAAGGAGCCGTTTCAGCATTGAAACCAGCTCATCAGCCCTCGGGGCCAACTCATCAGCCCTCGGGGGCAGCTCAACAGAAGAAGACTCATCTCAACTCAGCTCAACAGAAGAAGACTCATCTCAACTCAACTCAGCAGAAGAAAACTTGACCTGTCGCTCGCGAGCGCAGCGTCAGCTACTACAGCAGCGGAAAGAGCGCGTGCCGGCGTAGCTCATCCAGCAGTGGAGGAAACTGCTGTCAGCGAATCAGCACGGGCGCGTTCGCGCATCTTCAAGGAGAAAGAGCGCGGCCAGCAACGCCAAGCAAGAGCGTGCAGCAGCTCAGCCAGCAGTGGAGAGAAACTGCTATCAGCGAATCAGCACGGGCGCGTTCGCGCATCTTCAAGGAGAAAGAGCGCGGCCAGCAACGCCAAGCAAGAGCGTGCAGCAGCTCAGCCAGCAGTGGAGAGAAACTGCTATCAGCGAATCAGCACGGGCGCGTTCGCGCATCTTCAAGGAGAGGGAGCGCGCGCCACCAGCGGGCCATCAGCACCTGCATCAGCACCAGCGCGTGCCAACAGCGTGCCACCAGCGTGCTACAGCGCGCAACTTCGCGTCACCAGGGCTGAGAGGGAAGCGGCCCCGCACTCAACGCCCATCGGCGCGACGACGGCGAGCGTCGTGCTGACTCTTCCAGCCAGCAGTGGACAGAAACTGGCAGCCGTTCGTATGCCCCAACCCCTCCCCCACACTCTTCCCCTCACTCCCCCACCGCGCCGCAACACACAGGAAACACATTTTGGACACACGAGATGCTAACCTCGGCGTCTGCTTTACGCAAAGAATTGAACCAGTGATAACGAAGACACGATACGCATATCGGGATAATCAAGAAGGGTTGCCACTCCAAGGTGCGGCATTAAAAATCAATTCATAACGAAAAATACTGCTGTCATTGAGTTGCATAATAACCAATCGTCCTACTGTTAAAAACGTGATAAGAATTGACTTGAAGGTCTATGAATGGATGTGGTACTCTGTGGGCAATGTTTAAATACGAATTTACATTATAAGGTTAAGGTTTTGATAGAATAGTTCACTTGTTTTTAATCTCTCTCTCAACAACCGATCGATTGCGTTACACGTCAGGAATTAACCACAGGTGCCGCTATCGAGGTGAAACAACGCAATCGTGATGGTATCATGTTAACGCTGTGTTGAAATTCCAAAATCCCGAGATTGAGTTTTCATATTATCCAAAAATTAAAGTTAGCTAGAAATAAAATTGATTAAAGCAGAAGGTTTGTGTGTGATTCTTCCTGAAATTCTGCATAATATTGTTCTGCGTATGAGATCCGAATCCTGGGGACCTATCATAAGCACACTATCACCACATGATCCATAACACACATAATCCGTAATGTTCAATCGAGAGTAATCGTATCCTTATCGATAATACGGAATTGAAGAGCAGAGTCGAATCGTCTCTCTCTCATTCACGCTCACAACGCCTGCGTCACTGCATACGATGAATTGCGTTATTCCAATTCATAACACAATCCTCGTCACCGAGGCTCGACCTGATAATCCATAACGACCTGCGTTATCATAACCACGCCCACTCGCATAAATTAATACGATTATCTCTCGAATCAGCATAATTTATGCACATAATTACACTAATTAACATAATTTCGGATAAATTATGCAAATCTCAAATTTCATTTAATTTTCATTATTTTCATCAATTTTCATAACACCTATATATACAACATATTGGGCGCGTCGTCCGGGATCTCTCGCAGACAGTTTATGCTTGAATTAAGGAACAAATCACTGTTGTATTAACCAAGGTTTTATGATCTAACGTTACCCTGTGACTGTAACGGGTGTAAAGCAAACAAAAAAACGCACTCTGAAGGGAAATTCCAGAGTAGCAGGGTATAACAAAGACAATTGAAGTAAGATTATTTGCTCGAGTCAAACTGACCACATCCTGTGATACAAGTGTTTTTATACGTGCTCTGAAGGGAATACCAGAGTCACATGAGTCGAACTGATGCATTCTGGATACAACTGTTTTGATATGCACTCTGAAGTGAAATTCCAGAGATGCTCGTATTAAGAGTAATTTTTGAGTGGATTGCGGGATATTGGGAACTTGTACCAAAAAGGTCAGGCCGATCTGCTACAGAGCAAACAAATCAGGGAGACACATGGAAGGTGAGCTGTATTGATGACATTGGGACACTGCTTAAGAACTGGATAAAATGGGAGAAAAGCGAACACGATGTAAAAACATCAGGAATAGCTACGCTGAACTCAGACCCTCTCGCACAGACAGACAAACAGAGATTATGGGATGAGGAAAATTTCGGAAAAGAAACAGGTGGGACTGATAACCCCGAAGTCAGAGTGAGACAGAATATTAAAACTAAATCACCAGGAGATTATGTACTAATAACGCGAGAAAGGGCGGAGCCGAAGCTCCGAGGCAACTCTCCAGGAAAACGCACACCACGCACAGACGGCCGACACAAACATCGCGACAGGCACGACGCACCAGACAAAAATAAATCAAACACCCCACAAAAACCACCTAAGTATGAGCCATGGGGAAAACAGGAGTCACCGGGCAAAGTTGACCCACGTTACAGGCGCAAAATACACTACAAAAATCATGTTAAGCAACGCCACCGTGATGTTAATGACTCATCCGAATCTGACTCGGATGACGATGATCAACTTTCCGAATACTCGTTCAGTAGTAACACTCTGAACTTGATGGACAAAGCTCTCGTCAGAATTCCCTATTTTGATCCACACAATAAGAACAGGGACATTCACACTCACATCGCAACGGTAGAAGCAGAAGCAATGATCAGGGGTCTGAGGAAAACGGATGAAAAAGCGAGTTTGCTGAAACGCAGCTTGCATGGACAGTCCATATCATGGGTAAAGTCGCTACCATACGAGGTTCGGAACGATTTTAAAAAGCTGAGCCTGGCAGTGATTCGGAAGTTTGGAGAATATTTAACACTGTCTGAGGGATTTAACGCTGCAAAATCTATGACCCAGTGTGCAGACGAGGATCCTCGGGATTACCTCATGCGATTTAAAAGAGCGTACTATGCGGGCGATGTGGATCAGTATCACGAAGGTGACAAAAGGTTCAAAATTATGTTTTTTGGATCTTTGAGTCCGGAGATTACAGAAATTGTGGGAATGGTCTTGAATCCAGAGACAGCCTCCTTAGACCACATAGTGGATCGGGCACACATGGCTTGGCTGTACCGGGCTAAAAACAATGATTTCACAGCACACAGTGAACGGGACAAGGCAACCAGCCTATCAGACGAAAATAAAAAACATGTGAGGCATTTGATGCACGCAGGCCCACAGTGCAGGAAACAAAAAGCACCCACGGATTACCAACATAATTACATACACGGGTGGTCAAATAACAATTACACGAGACAATGGCACGCAGACCAGGAGCGATCGCAGCATGCAGGGACGCGTATTTGCGAGAATCGCAACGTGTGGAGACCACGAGCAAAGTCAGACCAGTGCTCAATTCCACGGCACACAGACCGAGAGCGATCGCAGCATGCAGGGACGCGTATTTGCGAGAATCGCAACGTGTGGAGACCACGAGCAAAGTCAGACCAGTGCTCAATTCCACGGCACACAGACCGAGAGCGTTCGCAGCGTGCAGAGACGCGTATTTGCGACAATCGCCACGGGTGGAAGCAAAGAGCAGGACCATATCTTCACCCAATGCAGCGGCACACAGCCGGCCAAAATTACCCACACAGATGTCGAGATAACAATTACGGTCGACAGTGGCACATAGAGAATGGGCGGCCACGACACACAAAGACACATAATCGCGAGAATCACGGCGTATATAGGCCAAGAGCAGAATCACGCCGATTCCCCATTCCACGATACACAAGGGGCACACATGGCTTGGCTGTAACAAAGAGGGTGACATGGGCACGTGATAAATCGCTCACACTGGTTGAGAGGAAAATGACAGGGAAAGAGGTGTCCGCTGATCTGAAAAAAAAATCACAGCCCTTGGAAAAAATCAAGCAGGCTGGAGGTTACAAACAGAACCAGGAGGGGAACCATGATTGTGGAAAACTAAATGCGCCATGCACACGCTTTGATGTGGTGGGGAACGCGAGAGTCGCTCCCGTGGTGAACACACCTATTGAACAAGGAAAATTAACCATGAAGCGTGATCTAACAGGAAATGATAACCAACAGGATCGGGAGGAGAAACATGCTTGTTTGGTAAATGGAAACGCGATCAATTGTGTCGCAAAATTGCGTGAGAGTACAGTAAAAGTGCCAGGGAAACGCGTTACGGAGACAAAAATCCATGATGGATTGGGGAATGTGTGGAAATCCAGCACACGCAAAAACATGGAATCGAATCGAGGCACGGAATCGGATCGTGGTACGGAGTCAGCAAATCTGCACATGGCTGCGGAGAAGGCAAATGACCCCAACAGTCGAGCACGGAAACTCGTGTTGTGTACTAATCCTGGTGGCGCTCGACATGGCTTCACGCCACATAAACCCACAGGGAAGGCGAGGGATAAAAAAAATTACCGATACGAACCAAGGAACCGTGCTCATTTGGCTAAAGCCATACCGACGATGAACCAAAACGACGATGTGATGATGTTGCATGGAAAGGTCACAGGTTACTCGAAAATACCTGGTCATGAGAAAAATTATTCTGTACTTTTGACCAAACGTGGCAGTAAGGTTGCCAATAACTTGGTAAACATTAAACAAAGAGATGCCAGGAGGGAAACGGTGTACCACCGGGCTCGAAACCGCTATCCAGTGTTTCCCAGGAACTGAAACAAAAATCAAAGCAATAATTGATAAGACCCGATGTAACATGTTGCCTTAATTTCTCTTTTTCCTGTTCTTTTATTTTCTTATTTCAAATGTAATCATGCTAAGTTGTGACACGTACGCGCGCGTTGTAAGGAAAAATCACAAACTTGAAGACAATCGATAGTTCATGGTGGAAAAAGGCATTTTTCTTTAATATTAAAAATAACCGGTGGCAGACCACCGATCATTTTTAAAAGGGCGGAATGTTGTATACGGCCCTTTTTCCACAATTAATATCCATAAGAATATTTACGGATGCATACACCTAGATTTCTTTTTCCTTTCTTTCGTGACAAACAATATATATATTTTTTTAATGAATCAAACCAGTAAGCCAGAAACACGAAAAACCAGATGTCGGTCATAACCAGACCATTAAAGAATAAAGGAATAATAAAACTCTCAAGGCGAGGATGTAACAGCTATCGGCGAAAATCTCCAGATGAACAAGAGTTTGATGGGCCCCTTAGGAAAGGTCCCTCCGAGGTCAGAACACCAAGAGAGCAGACACCAGACGCCAACAGGGTAAATCGTATACATATTCTTTTCCTTATTTTCCAGTAAAGCAACAAAAAAATTAAAAGGCAACAACAAGAATAAGATAAAAGTAGCGAGCCTAACGCTCACTCCAATTAAGAACAGGCCACCAGACACATCAGTGAATTATTATCCAATGATTAATTCGCTATCAAATGATTTTCACCTTTAATACTTTTACTGTTAAAACAAAGCTTGGAGCAAGAATACCGAGTCACATCAAAGGTTATCGAGAAGGAATGAGACAACGAGCAAACTTGCGAAAGAGTTTAAACAATATTCCAAGCAACCCCGACCACATTTGTCTCTCTCACAGCGCGGAGAAGCAGGAATTACACCTTATCACAAGGGGCCATCTGGAAAAGCCAGCCGGGTTTGATGAGGAGACACACCCACCCCACACACGGCAACCAGGCAAAGAAAGTTTTAAAGAAAATTGCAAAATAATATTAATAATAACAACGTGTTAACCTTACATGACATTCCATTATAGAACCTTACAGAACCAAGGGATATGGATTCCAACAATCAAGAAATGGACCTCTTAAACTCAGGATGATAATTATTTTTCTTTTTAATAATTCCATCATAACAATTCGAACCTCGGTAAAACCGAGAGGTGTCGGGAAGACGTAGTTACAAACACGAGTCTTGGCGAACATGGGACCAAATGGTATTTGAGAAAAATAAGTCGAAAGTATAAAGAGGTGCTCCCGACCACCTTTGTCTCTCCCGACCACCTTTGTCTTTCCCTGCAGCACGTGATAAAATGCATACGCTCGGAAGAGCATCTTCACTTGGAAATAAATCAAATACTATGAATCACAAGCAGGATCATAACTGTGTATGATAAGATACCAACTGTGATGTGAAATGTTAAACTTAAAAAAAATCTTAACCATTTCTTTGTGCGTCGGAACGCGTACGGAAAAGGGGGGGGGAACCCGCCCCTCTCTCTGGGTGGAGGGATTAGACAACCAGACGCCACCAAGATGAATCGAGGTGTCTGTTGTCTTGATGTTTATGGCTTGAGGAAAGACCCCAACAGGGCCATGTCATAAATGACACACACACAAACATACACACTGACACACGAACCCCCCCCCCACCACCGACACACGAACCCCCCCACCGACATACGATCAGATCAAAGATAGCTCCACCTCGTGAGGGGGAGCCGAGAAGGGGAGAGATTTTTGGCATAAAAAGGAGCCGTTTCAGCATTGAAACCAGCTCATCAGCCCTCGGGGCCAACTTATCAGCCCTCGGGGGCAGCTCAACAGAAGAAGACTCATCTCAACTCAGCTCAACAGAAGAAGACTCATCTCAACTCAACTCAGCAGAAGAAAACTTGACCTGTCGCTCGCGAGCGCAGCGTCAGCTACTACAGCAGCGGAAAGAGCGCGTGCCGGCGTAGCTCATCCAGCAGTGGAGGAAACTGCTGTCAGCGAATCAGCACGGGCGCGTTCGCGCATCTTCAAGGAGAAAGAGCGCGGCCAGCAACGCCAAGCAAGAGCGTGCAGCAGCTCAGCCAGCAGTGGAGAGAAACTGCTATCAGCGAATCAGCACGGGCGCGTTCGCGCATCTTCAAGGAGAAAGAGCGCGGCCAGCAACGCCAAGCAAGAGCGTGCAGCAGCTCAGCCAGCAGTGGAGAGAAACTGCTATCAGCGAATCAGCACGGGCGCGTTCGCGCATCTTCAAGGAGAGGGAGCGCGCGCCACCAGCGGGCCATCAGCACCTGCATCAGCACCAGCGCGTGCCAACAGCGTGCCACCAGCGTGCTACAGCGCGCAACTTCGCGTCACCAGGGCTGAGAGGGAAGCGGCCCCGCACTCAACGCCCATCGGCGCGACGACGGCGAGCGTCGTGCTGACTCTTCCAGCCAGCAGTGGACAGAAACTGGCAGCCGTTCGTATGCCCCAACCCCTCCCCCACACTCTTCCCCTCACTCCCCCACCGCGCCGCAACACACAGGAAACACATTTTGGACACACGAGATGCTAACCTCGGCGTCTGCTTTACGCAAAGAATTGAACCAGTGATAACGAAGACACGATACGCATATCGGGATAATCAAGAAGGGTTGCCACTCCAAGGTGCGGCATTAAAAATCAATTCATAACGAAAAATACTGCTGTCATTGAGTTGCATAATAACCAATCGTCCTACTGTTAAAAACGTGATAAGAATTGACTTGAAGGTCTATGAATGGATGTGGTACTCTGTGGGCAATGTTTAAATACGAATTTACATTATAAGGTTAAGGTTTTGATAGAATAGTTCACTTGTTTTTAATCTCTCTCTCAACAACCGATCGATTGCGTTACACGTCAGGAATTAACCACAGGTGCCGCTATCGAGGTGAAACAACGCAATCGTGATGGTATCATGTTAACGCTGTGTTGAAATTCCAAAATCCCGAGATTGAGTTTTCATATTATCCAAAAATTAAAGTTAGCTAGAAATAAAATTGATTAAAGCAGAAGGTTTGTGTGTGATTCTTCCTGAAATTCTGCATAATATTGTTCTGCGTATGAGATCCGAATCCTGGGGACCTATCATAAGCACACTATCACCACATGATCCATAACACACATAATCCGTAATGTTCAATCGAGAGTAATCGTATCCTTATCGATAATACGGAATTGAAGAGCAGAGTCGAATCGTCTCTCTCTCATTCACGCTCACAACGCCTGCGTCACTGCATACGATTAATTGCGTTATTCCAATTCATAACACAATCCTCGTCACCGAGGCTCGACCTGATAATCCATAACGACCTGCGTTATCATAACCACGCCCACTCGCATAAATTAATACGATTATCTCTCGAATCAGCATAATTTATGCACATAATTACACTAATTAACATAATTTCGGATAAATTATGCAAATCTCAAATTTCATTTAATTTTCATTATTTTCATCAATTTTCATAACACCTATATATACAACAGTTCTCTGGTGTTTTTTAAGAGCAAATGACTGTGAAAATGTCTTCCGACACACACTGCACCTGAAGGGTTTCTCTCCTGTGTGTGTTCTCTGGTGTCTTTTAAGAGTAGATGAATCTGAAAATGTCTTCCCACACACACTGCACTTGAAGGGTTTCTCTCCTGTGTGTGTTCTCTGGTGTGTTTTAAGAGCGGATGACCATGAAAATGTCTTCCCACACACACTGCACCTGAAGGGTTTCTCTCCCGTGTGTGTTCTCTGGTGTGTTCTAAGAGTAGATGAATCTGAAAATGTCTTCCCACACACACTGCACCTGAAGGGTTTCTCTCCGGTGTGTGTTCTCTGGTGTGTTTTAAGAGCAAATGAACCTGAAAATTTCTTCCCACACACAGTGCACTTGAAGGGTTTCTCTCCCGTGTGTGTTCTCTGGTGTGTTCTAAGAGTAGATGAATCTGAAAATGTCTTCCCACACACACTGCACCTGAAGGCTTTCTCTCCCGTGTGTGTTCTCTGGTGTGTTTTAAGAGCAAATGAACCTGAAAATTTCTTCCCACACACAGTGCACTTGAAGGGTTTCTCTCCCGTGTGTGTTCTCTGGTGTGTTTTAAGAGTAGATGAATCTGAAAATGTCTTCCCACACACACTGCACTTGAAGGGTTTCTCTCCTGTGTGACTTCTCTGGTGCTGTGTCAAATTTCCAGTCCGATCCGTGCTGTATGCACGCTGGTCACATTGTTGACTTGTCGTACCGAGATGCTGTGCTGAGGGCCTTTGCTCCATCAGACCAGCGTCAGCTGCACACAGAAAATAAGAATATCCACACCATCTACACGTCAGTATCGAGCCATGGAGGAATGAATATATACAGTCACATGTGACTTACACGTCTATATTCATTCATGTATTCATCACTAGCTGTACTACCCGGCTTCGCCCGGGACTTGGATCTACCACGTCCGGCCGCCTATATCTCCCCAGTGGCGATGTTCACACCACAACAGTTACTCGTTTGAGGCTGAGTCGACCTAGGGGAGGCCCAGAAGCGGTTCAAATAATCATCACCGGTGGTGGCCGTGAGCGGGAATCGAACTCGGGTCACCGGGTTCGTTGCGCAGCGTAGCGCTAACCGCTACACTACAATGCGTTACGCTTACACACACACACACAGACACACACAGACACACACACAGACACAACAACAACAACAACAACCGCCATTCGCCACTAAGTGGCGGTGACGTCACCACGACGCTTGTGCCAGGCTATGTGCACCCTGAGGCCACGTGAAGTGTCGAACGCCCGCTGGCAGGAGGTCACGGGGCAGACCCAGGTGCCACGGGTCGACTGACTGAGATGACTGGCTGATGCACCACCTGTGCCCCCGACTGTGCCAACCTGCTGTGCTTTAGCCACCCGGCGCTCCGCTCGCTGTTGTGAGTGTCGCTCCTCCGCCCTCCGTTGTGGTTGGAGGGCGACTGCCTCCAACTGCC